TGAGGCTGGGCAGATATTTTGGCAGTCTAAGCACCTGCCTGGCAAGTGCAAGGACCCAGGTTTGATCCTCAGTCCCCAGTACTGCATGCCATGCCAGCCCCTAAACCCAGGCACACTGTGCCAGTCCTGAAACTTGGCATGGTGCTGCACACCTGTAATCCCAGCACTGGGGAGGCTGAGACAGGAGGATCACTATGAGGCCAAGCTGCATAGTGAGACCATGTACCAAATAAAAGAATAAAAGGCCAGCGAGATAGCTCAGCAGACTAAGCACTTGCGTAGGCAAGTGCAGGGGCCAGGGTTCGATCCCTGGCACTGCACGCCACTCCAGCCCCATCTCCCAGGCGCAGAGTTGGCAGTGGAGTCCAGGCATGGTGACACATGCCTGTAATCCCAGCACTAGAGAGGCTGAAAACAGGAGGGTCACTATAAGTCCGAGCTGCATAGTGAGACCCTGCACAAAAATAAATAAATAAAAAAATATATATTTGGCATACTATATGTATATATGGAAATATCACAGTGAAACCCATTAATTTTTTAAATTAATATGGACCAATAATTATAATGAAATGTTGTTTTATTAATAAATTGCATTTTCAAAACAAGAGACAATTCTTTGACTAAAGAAACACCGATAAGTACTCACAGATTTTATAGATAGGAGCCACCTGTCACATGACTATAAACTGACAGCCACAGTCATTTCATGCTTCCCGGGTGCAGGCCAGTTCAGACTGTGAAAATAGATCCTAAAGTAAACCTCTGGAAACATCCCAAGGTGTTTTGTTTATATCATAAAATAACATTTAGGAAGTTTTGGCATTGTGTTGCTAAGTAGCTATGTATTTTATTTAAACTGTTGTATGAATGAAATTGTTAATGCTCACACAAAAACTTAAAGAGGCAACTGCTGCCAATATCTCTAGTTCATAGATAGAGAGAAAACAAAAAATTAGACAAAGGGTTCATTTCTTGGTCCTGTATGCTGCACCAGCCCCGCTCCCAGAGCACGCTGAGCCAGCCCCTGAGACCAGGCGTGCCGACATACACCTGTAATCCCAGTGCTGGGGAGGCTGAAAACAGGAGGATCACTATGAATCCAAGCTGCATAGTGAGGTTCTGTACCAAATACATTAAAAATGAAAATAAATAAATAAAATATTAGAGAAATTAATCATTTTGTCCAGCTCACTCAGGAGCAAGCAGCAGCAGCCCTGGTATTCAACCCAGTCTGAGGCTGGCTGCAGAGCGGCCCCACCTGAGAAGCAAGAAGACAGAGATGTGGGTGGGCGGGCAGAGCAGGGGCTGGGAAGGAGATGGGCAGAAGACACCCGCAGCCGCCGCTGCCTAGTGCGCCGCCATCAGCGTCCAGCACGCTGCGCTTCGAAGCCAGGCAGGTTAGCAGATGGGCGACCCACAGGGTGCAGATTCGAAAACCAGAGCCAGAGCCAGAGCCAGAGCCACGGCGCACACAGCTCTGAGGTTGCCGCTCAGCCACCACGAGCAGATAGCAGCCAAATACGCTCTGTTTACAGAGCACAATGTGGGTAAAACTGCTCTCGGTAGTTGCAGAATTTTGTTTTTCCTCTTTCCTAGTTACTGACCAGACGACAGCTTCAGATACTCCGGAGAAAAGCTCTCTCTCCTCTCCAGACCCTCAGCAGCCCACGAGCATTGGTAAGTGTCAAAACCAGTGAGATTTTAAAAGAGAAACCATGAACACTTAGGAGGATTCCATTTCTAATGTTATTTTCAGAATTTTTTAATTTTAATTTTTTATAAAATCATCCAAGACCCCACAAACAGGCACCAGCTTCTTGATGTCCTGGATCCGGGCCTCATAATAGAGTGTATTTAGTGGATGGGATTCAGAGTGACACACTGCCTTGTCAGTTCAGTGCTACTCTGCTCCAGATGCATGCTTACACACACACACACACACACACACACACACACACACACACACACACACGGCCATGGTGACTCTCAAATTTGTCCTGTGCCAAAGGGCAAACTTGAATTCACTTATGAGGAAGCAAGGTCCATGTGCTCCCATCTAGAGCAGAGCAAACACTAAACAAAGACTTGGTATCAGTGAACCAAGAAGTAGAAGCTGGGAATCTGATGTCGCTTTTGTCGCCTTTGAGGGCAGCTCATTTACACGGTTGTCAGGATCTTGGACCATTGCTAAAGATAGGATTAAAGTATAAGAAGAGCTCAGAAAACCTCGATCGCAAATCCAGATATTTAGATAGTTAACCACTAGATGGTTAACTTGGGTCAATGATCCTGTATTTAATTTAACTTTGTATTCTATCCAGTGCAGTATCTGACAATAATAACAAGTGCTCAGAATATGCTGAGTGAGCGAGTGAATGAATGAATGAATGAATGAATGAATTTATTGTGGTGCTCTGAGCCAGAAAGCTTCGCTCAGGAAGACATAAATTTCTGTGTGTTCTCTTTCTGTTCCATAGAGTGTCTCTATAATAATTTTATTTGGTAGCATAAGTACTTTCAGATCATTATCATGTTGATAGCTCTGAGTATCAGATCGCATTTTTAAAAATGTGTATCCTGAATAATATTTAAAAGTAAATGTTTGGGCTTTTACAAAACACTGATAAACACAATATGTCCATACAATTTTTGAAGGGCTATGAAAATTGAAAATATTATGAAGTGGAACAGCTACATCACTTGCTTTAATAATGCAATATTTTAAAACATGTTTAGAATCTGGTTGTCTCTAAATTGGCGTGCACCACTCCTGAGCAACTCAATTTTCTGCTCTGCATTTTCATATACAACATAGGATTTAAGAAATATGGCTTCTAAAATTCCTTTTAGCTTTCAATTTCTGCAATTTTATGACTGTTAATAATACCCACTTTTGGCAGAAAACGGGGAGGCGTTTACTCCCCTCGGGATCCACACAGCGGCGCTGTGCCGTGACCTAAAAAGGCTTGAAAAGAAAAAAAAAAAGACTCGGGAAGATAAGCAATGAATCCGAGAAAGCCTTCGCTTCCTTTGGTAATTTGTGTTATCTAGCGAAAATGCATTGCATCCCCGTGCTGAAGGAGAAACAGCAAGGAATTTAGACAACTGAAGCTCCATTTCAGCATGACTCGAGGGCCAGGGCTCATCTCCCTCGGCCTGGCGCCCAGCTCCTAGGTGCTGACCAGGCCTTCTCCCAGTAGTCCTGATGCAGAGAGAAAATATGAAGTAATGGCTTTAATTTGGAGCCCTAGTGTTAGGGAAAACTCAGTTTCAATGTTGCCTCTATTGCATATCAAGTGGGTTCAGTTGATTTATTAATTTCTCAAAACTTCTATTCTCTGAGAACTATGTAAGAGAAACCAGACACCTGGGATTAGTTGAAGGCCCCATACCTAATAAATGTTTAATAAGTGCTTGCCTTTAAAAAATAAAAATAAGGCATCCTGGCTGTGGTGGCGCACACCTGTAATCCCAGCATTTGGGAGCTGGAGGCAGGCGGACCCCTCTGACTTTGAGGACAGCCTGGGATACAAAGTGAGCTCAGGGCCAGCCTGAACTGCACAGGGAAATCTTGTTTCAAAAAGACAAAGAAATGGGGGGGCTGGGAGATGGCTCAGTAGAATAAGCACTTCCCTGGCAAGCACAAGGGCCTGAGTTCAATTCCGGTTTTGCCAAAAAAAAAAAAAAAAAAGACAAAAATAAAATAGAGAAGGCAATGGGAGACTGATCATTTGTAATAACTTTTGCAAAAAATCAGTAGTCCAAAGTCAAAGAAGCCAGGCACAAAGAAAATAAGGACTGAAAGTTCTCTTTCACATGCAAGAGCTAAAAATCTGATCCAGCATAGAAGAGAGTAGAGTGGTAATTACTAGCAGCTAAGAAAAGCAGGGGAAGGGGCCAGGGAGATGGCTCAGTGGAATAAGTGCTTCCCTGGCAAGCGCAAGGGCCTGAGTTTAATCCCCGGTTCCGCCAAAAAAAAAAAAAAAGAAAGAAAAAAAGAAAAGCAGGGGAAGCGAGGAGAGAGGGAGGCAGGGTAGCAGGTACCAAGGCCCACTGAGGGAGGAGGAGTCAGCACAGCTGTGCTACCACATAGTAGGGTTGCCGTAATGGATAATAACATATTATATGTTTATGAAGAACCAGAGAGAGGAGCTCAGCAGTTGTGACACAAGGCATGGAGATGACAAGGAAATGAGAGTGATAAAGAGAGCCAACGCCCTGATTTGATCATTACATTTTACCCATAAGTATGTGTAGTTACTTCGTAATTACTATATGTATAATTACTATGTGTTAAAGTAGAAACCAGGAATTAAGATTATCTCTCTTCTTCTCCCACCAGCCCCCCAAGACAGGGTCTCACGTTGTAGTTCCACCTGGCCTTGAACTCGCTAGGTCACTCATGCTAGTCTCAAATTCCCATCAATCTCCCTGCCTCAGCCTCCTGAATGCTGAAATTGTAGGCATGTGCCACCATGCCTGAATTCACTGTTCTTTTTAAATATTTTTTGTGGTTTCCACAGCTGCTGTGGGAAGAGTATACTGTTGTGTGTATCATTATAGTTTTAGTCCATTTTTTGTGCTTCTACAACAGAGTACAATCTGCTAGGTTACGAGCAGAAATGTATTGGCTTGCAGCTTTGGAGGCTGAGCTTTACAGCATTGAGGGACCATATCAGTCAAGGGCCTTTGCGCTCCAGCAAAGAGAGGAATTAAAGGCAAACCCCGCCACTTGGGAAGGAACTTGTGCTACCATCACATCACCAGCCCTTTCACAAAGGTGGATCCTTCATGACCAGAACACTTGTTCACATAGCAAATAGACATCAACAGGAGTTTGGGAGGAGACACTCAAACCACAGATTACAGCTACAAGTCACAAATCCATGATATGTGCTTACATCATATCTTATTCTCTTCCACCTTAGTTTCAATGACGGAAAATTCCAGTACACCAGAAGTTAACAAGCAAGCAGAAGAACAAACCACTCAGGACTCTGACTTGACCAGTGGTAAGTGTCACCATCTCATCTGAAAGAGACAATTGACATTTTAACCTCTGAGTTGGTAAAGCCAGTCCTCCTTGTTCTTGATTGGTTTGCTCTGTGACATAATGAATTAATCATTGCCTTGTCCCCTCGGGACCAGTGACCTCATACATTACTCGAACCCGCTTAACTGATTCTGTTATCGTTTAACCACTGTTTCTCTGTCCATCACCTAACTCCACTTCCTCCTCTGATGTGTGTGTGTGTGTGTGTGTGTGTGTGTGCACATGTGTGTGTGTGTGTGTGTGTGTGTGTGTGGATAGACCCTCTAGGCAACCTTACTATATACATCCCCAGCCCTGCTGGCACCCCTTGTTTGTTGGCTGGGCTAATGGACATTGAAAAAGTATCATTTCATAGGATCAAAATTCTAGGTTTAGAAAGACTTTTATGAGCTCATCTAGTACATCTCCAAATTCCTTTACGTGAACCACATTTGACCTCACCAAGATAAATGAATTTTCGTATTATTTGAGTAGTTTTCCAAACCCCTTTACAATCTCTTTTGCTACCTAACTTCATTTCTATAAAAAGATGAAGTCAATATTTGCATGCTTCCTCTAGGAATGACTGCTATTTCAACAGAATGTCAACTAAAATGGTCTTTTGGTTCATCTTCCAGAATTGCTTTGCATTTGGAAGATAAGCACTATGTGCTTTTTCTTTTCTTTTCTTTTCCTTTAAGAACTGGGGATTGAACTCAGACCCCTGTGCTTGCCAGGGGAGTGCTTATTCCACTGAGCCATCTCCCTGGCCTCCCCGCCATGCGCTCTTTCCCTTCAGGAGTAAACTCAGCCCCTGTCTTCTTCTGAGCTATCTTTCAGCCTACACAGTAGAAGAGAGGACTGTATCTATTTCTCAATGAGGGGAAATCCTGAACTGCCTAAAATCCATTCATTTTCCTTGCAGAAGCAAGCCCTCAGTACATGGGATTAGCAAGGAGGAAAAGCGGCATCCTGTTGCTCACACTTGTGTCCTTCCTAATCCTCATTCTCTTCGTCATAGTCCAGCTCTTCATAATGAAGCTGCGGAAAGCGCACGTGGTCTGGAAGAAGGGTGAGTGGCTCGGAGCCCAGGAGAGGCTGTGAGATGCTGCAAGAATTGGCTGGGCACAAAGGGAGCTCTGTGCATTCCAGCTTTCTGTTAGCTGCTGCACAAGTTCATAGACAAGCGCTGTGACACAAGCAATTATTTTCTAGAAAAAAAAAAGAGTTGCAACTCCCCAGGGCCTATGGTCAGAGAGAGCATAAGACCCACAAAACTAAAGTAGTCCTGGGAGTTAGCGTTAAGTTGTGGGCACTTCTGTTCACAAAAAGATACAAAATGGAGAGCTAATTCATTCATTCATGCATTCATGAAGCATTCAGAGGAGTGCCTACTATATGCCAGGCCCCTGTTCCAGACCTTGGAGACACATCAGTCAGAAGACAGAGCAAGCCCTTGCTCTCAAAAACTTGTATTCTAGCTGTGGACAGAGACTGAGTGTAGCAGACTGTTTTGATCCCATTCCTACTTTTCAAGAACCATCGTATCTTTTCACTCAACTATGGTATCTTAGTAATATTTCCCTAGCATTCTAATTAAAGATTATTTGGGACCAGGGAGATGGCTGCATAGAATAGTGCTTGCCCGGCAAGCACAAGGACCTGAATTCAATCCCCGGTTCCACAAAAAAAAATTTTAATTAATTAAAAAAATTAATATATATATATATATATATATATATATATATCATTAGGAACAAAAAGTTATTGAGCTAGTATGGAAGATAATATTAAAGTGCAGTAGACACAACACATATTGGAGCTGGAAGGGACCTCAGAAGGTATTCAGAGAACATCTACTGTATCCACCCTCTAATTAGGGGCCACCCTGAAACCTCCTCTTTCATTCTGATGTCTTATCTAGCCCTATGCTGTAGAATAGAGCAGACACAGGTAGCTGGTGAGCATTTCGTATGAGGATAATCCTTATGAGATGGGCTATAAATACAAAATACACACCCAACTTGGAAAACACAGGATATGTATGCAAGTAGACATGAGAATATACCTAATAATAGCATCTCGTGGGTATCCATTAAATAAAGTGCTATGACATGAATCTCATCTTCTTTTTACTTTTTAAATATGACTACTAGAATTTGTGGGGGGTGGGCGTGGGGGGTGTCCCCACACTGGAGGTTCAGCTCAGGACCGTGCACAGGCCGAGCCCACACCTTACCACTGAGCCGCAGCCCCTGCCATGGAGTATTTTATTTTCCACATGTGGTGCACATTGCAGTGCTGCTGGCCAGTGACAAGGTGGCCAGCTAAGGCTACGGCACCTCGAGTAACAGAGAATTCCTCCCATCGCAAGGCAAAACACACCTTGGAATAGCTTCATTTTTTTTTTCTGGTACCAAGAATCACACTGAGGACACTTTGTGCTTGCCAGGCAGGCACTTGTGCCACTGAGCTATACCCTCAGCTTCTTGGAATAGCATCTCCCTGACTAGTTTCTTATCATCCTCTAGGTAGTCAGATGGACTAATTTTTCCTATCATAAATAAACCTGGAGACAAGGTCTGCCCTTTCAGTTGGACCCACCTGAATAATAGGCGAACACCATAGTATTGGGGGGTTTTGTTTTGTTTTGTTTTGTTTGTGGAACTGGGGATTGAACTCAGACCCTTGCACTTGCCAGGGAAGCACTTATTCCACTGAGCCATCTCCCTGGCCATAGTATTGTTTTAAAATCTCTCATTATGATTTGCCCCCATCATTCTTTGGGGGATGTTTCAGTCGTCCCTTCCTGTAGGACAATACTTGCTTCTCTTTTGTTGTCATTTCCCTCCCATGGCTCTTATAGTGCCTTGTCAGCACCTGCAAGGAGGCTAGTAATGTGTTGAATTAATGCACACAGGAAACACAGGAGGGATTAATCCACTAAGTACTGTAACTGAGATCTTCTTATGCAAAATTACGTCTCAACATGTAGGTGACATCTGTGGCATCAGAAATCAGTAACTTAGTTTTCTTTTCTTTCAGAAAATGAAATTTCAGAAAACACCCTAGAAAGTTACAGATCAAGGTCAAATAATGAAGAAACATCTTCCCAAGAGAAAAATGGTCAAAGTAAGTCAACTATGTGACCTGAGATTTGAAAACTGAGGTTCATTCATCAGTTGCCTTTAAGAAGAGGAGGGGAAAAAGAAGTTAATTTCTTAAGTCTTATACAATTCAAGAATGCTCATCTTTAAAACAATCACTAGTTAAATTCATGTAATAGAAGCTATCCTTAACTCTGCTGTCACACATGCACATAAGTGTGTGCCCTGTTTTTGCCCCAGAGTATTACCCATCCATTTATGACTGAAGCATTTTTCACACCACCCTGTAAGTGTTAGTGTTTTGATTTAGCTACTACAATATTACTTCAGGTGGAAGTAGGTCGGCTCTGATCGCTGGATCCTGGCGCCTGGCTTTGTACGTGGTGGCACATGCTTGCAATCTAGCACACGGAAGGCTGAGGCAGAAAGATTGCTGTGAGTTCAAGGCCAGCCTGAGCCACAGTGAGTTCAAGGCCACACTGGACTACACAGTGGAATGGTATCTCTAAAAATAATGACAACAAAAACCTCAAACAAACAAATGGCGTACTTGACAAGTTTGGGTTGATTAAATGAATACAAACTTTAATCTTTCAGTCCTTTCAGATGGCTTTGTTGCCATGCAAAGATGAAAAGAAATGTAAAGAGAATGAAAGGAATCTAAATGAGAAGGGAAACTGTGCATGTGCACGCACACATGCGTGCACATGCGTGTGCACGAGCACATGCTAACAGTGAGGCTCCGTGGGTAGAAGCTAGGTCCATAACAGAGTAATATGTTTATGCCTCCCAAGCATTTCATGTCCACTGTGCAAATTATTTTACCTGCCGGGAGATGCAAGATATGTAGAAAGCTCTGCTGCTTGATTCTATTGGCTTGTTCAAGGTTTTGTAGGAAGCTGGTCTTTTTTTCTTTTTCTTTAGGACAGGGTGTACAAGGTGTACAGGGTCTCACTGTGTAGATCAGACTTGTAGTGATCCTCCTGTTTACAGCCTCCCAAGTGCTAGGATTACAGGTGCACACCACCACGCCCAGTCTCAATCGCAGTCTGAGTGCGCTCTGGGGGGGCGGGACCAGCAGAGCAGGCCTGGGGATTGAACTCCCAGCCCATGCATCTGCCTAAGCAAGCTCTTTAATCCGCTGAGCTATTTGGCTGGTCCTAGGAAGCTGGTCTTTTGTAACACCTCTGCCTTCTATTGTGTTTTGATCTACTAGCGTGAAATGGAGAGAGAATAGGTGTACTCGCAGAAGACAGTGTGACAGAGAACTGACTGTGAATGCTGGGGAAGGAGGAGAAACATGTGTAAAATATAGTTTATCTGGCTGTACACTGAAGAAGGGTGTCAGTATGATGTGTCAGTTGGATTGCTTCCCGTGTTGCCTATAGCCTCTACGTGCACAGAGGCATAGGCTTTGAAGGGTCTGCTCTGAGCTATTTTTTCCCATAAACCTTGTTGTTTTTAATATGTGATTATTTTTTTTTTAGTTGTTTTGAGACAAGGCCTCTCTCTGCAGTTCAGGCTGGCCTTGAGCTCACTTTGTAGCCCAGGCTGGTCTTGAACTCACAATGATCCTCCTGCCTCAGGCTCCCAAATGCTGGGATTACAGGTGTGTGCCACCACACCTGGCTTTAATATGTGGTTTTAATGAGGGCAACACATATGTTATTTTGTGACAGAAATGCCTGCATATTTTATACCAGGTTTATTAGTATTTTGTTAATATAATGAGACTTCTAGAAATTAGGGTATAGCTATGAATTTAGACCATTTATTTGCATTAAAAATTTAGATTAGATTTTTATAATAGATTAACATACAGTTTTAAAAACATGATATCTAAGCAACGTGTTTTAAATAAATAGATGTCATGTTGTTCAAGAGAAATACTCACATTTAATGTTTTTCTTTCAGCTTCCCACTCTAAGCGTTGTATGAAGTACATTGCAAGGTTGTACCCAGGATCAAAAACAAAGGAGAATGTACAATGTTCACAATTAAAAGAGAAGTGCACTCCCATCCCAGAGAATATTGTGTAACTTTCGCTATGACAGAAGATAGGATTTCAGAGCAAAATCGTTGTAAGCAGAACAGCCTGTGGAAAAGAGATAATTACTGTGACATGAAAAATGTCGTCTGAGTGCAGTGCATGATGGTGTCCTCTGAGCCAGGGCAAAAAGATGAGGACCAAACCATGGACAGAAAGTTCCTAGTTAAAAAAAGAAAGAAAGAAAGAACCTATTATGCCTGACACTACTTCAGAGCAGGAGGACTCCACTAAGCCTTGTGGATCAGGGTCAGTGTGACCAGCTAACATCTTACCTTGAAGAGAATGAAGAGTTTCAGATACTGGCCTATAGTGGAAGTACATAAAAAAATTTTTTTAGAAAAAAAATCATTCCTTCTGGTCATGAAATAAAGAACCTTAGGATGAAAAGTACCCAAAAGAGATCGCCAGTCCTAGGAAGTTGCTTTCAAGACGGGTATTAAGAAGACGCAACCAGTGCATGGGCATAGAAGAGGGCCGCCGGGTCACAGTGACTGAGTCAGAGGGACACGAAGGCCCCGGGATCCGCTCCTGGGACACAAGGCGTGAGCTCAGAGGAGTCCCAAACATCCAAATTCTTTAGGCTTTCTTGCTAAATCACAGACACTGACTTGATAGGCAAAGTGTTAAACACCGTTATATTCCGTAGCAAAAGCATGTACAACAACAATTAATAAACTCACCCAACAGATCACTGACTTAATAAATGGCTTTGTACATTTCTTGAATAAAGAGGTTTATTTTTTTCTGGCAATTTTGGTCAAAGTTGTATCACCTACTTTGATGTGTGAAAAGTGACATGTGACATCTTTGTTCCATCAATTTAAATTATAGAAAACTCTGGCATGATGAGGAAAATTTCTCCTGGTTTGAGTCCGAATAAACTAATTCTAAGGTAACATGTACACATATTATGATCTGGTGATCTGTTACACGAGTCTTGCTCCTCTCGGTTGGTTCCTCCCCCCGTTCGGTACCATTTTTAGCAATGACAAAATTACGGCAATGTGCGCAGATAGTCTGCCCCGCGTTCATCTGAGAAGACGCCCCTCACTGCCAGAGGCATTAGAGGGTCTTTCCTACAAACAGGACGCTCTCCCCTCTAACTACTACGCAATTCAAAATCAGGATATTTATACTATTTCATTCCTAGTAACACTCTTCAGATGCAGTGCCACTCAGGTTTTTCCAGTTGTCCCTATTGTCCCACAGGACCAAGTTCACAGTTACCTTTCACTTTTGCCTCACTTGACTTGGAACAGCTCTTCAGGGTTGTCCTTACTTTCATATGTCCTTATTGCATATTTTTGTAGAAAAAAAAAGGCTAATTATTTGATAGACTACCCAGGTATAGTCCATGACCCATCTCTGCGATGTCCCCTTTTCAAGATGTCCCCCTCTTCCTGCGTAGGCTCCCCTTCCCTTCCCCATCCTTTGCATTGTAGATGCTTTGCTTACCAAATGGGAGCTCTGACCCCAGCAGGAGATGGTCCTGCTGTATGAAAGTTCTCAGTGTGCACATGTGCGCACAGGTCCACACACACACACACACACACACACACACACACACACACCGATGCATGGTAACACTTCTCACCCCATGCTGGGCACATACCCTCTGAGGCCCTCTGCCTCTCTTTACCAGCCCCCAGGGCTTCCATGTCTTCTCTACATACACTGCCAAAGATGCCTGCTTTGCTATACTTGACTTAAGAACTCTAGGACTAAAGTGGTTTTCAAAAGTTTGGCAAAAGAGGAACACGGAAGTACTTGGGAGAATGGGGATAAGCCAGATGTCCTGGTTCCAAGAGTCTTAATGAGTAAAGACATCAGGATTAGGCTGTTATTTATAGCTTACCAGTGGCTCTGAGTCACCATCCCATCAATATTCTGCAAATAATACAAACGGAAGGACATTTTTTCAGTAGCTATGCTGCTTGCCCTAGTAGATTAAACCTTAATGCTGTGTTGGCCAACTTTGAGTTTATGTTTGCAAATGATGCTAACTGTGACTGCTCCCTTGTCCCCAATACCGTCTTTGAAGGGGTCAAATGAAAGTGCCAACATTTTCACTTGCTCCAGGGCTGAGGCAAACACACTGAGCCTCAGAACTGTCAGAATCGCCTCGGAGGAAATCCTAAAACAGGATCCCCAGGTTTGTCCCAGTGATCTCAGGAGGCTTGAGGTGGCACTTTGAAGTCAGCAGTTTTCAAAATTTTCCTGAGTGCTTCCAACAGTTTGGGAAGCCTTGAAGGACCACCCCAAATTTTTTTCGAAGGATGACTGACTTATCAGTGCTATGTTCAAAATGACCATCATGTCCTGTGATGAATGTGTTCTTAGTGTCCAGGGAGTAGAGGACCTTAAGTGTCATCTAGCCCTAAGTGGTATGGAACTGTATCCCAATACAGGCCAAATGCATTCTATGGATAAAGAATGCATCTCACTTGCACAGTGCTTAGCCCTCAGTCTTTTCTAAATTTATATCTTAGGGCCAGGGAGATAGCTCAGTAGAATAAGTGCTTGCCCGGCAAGCGCA